CCCAAAACCCCAAAACCCCAAAACCCCAAAACCCCAAAACCCCAAAACCCCACTCATTAAGATTTGGAATTAAAAGTGAAAAGATTTACTATTTAGTGAAACTTTATAAATCTATTCCATATCAAGCAAATATCCTATAATCTTTATAATCTTTTAAGATCCTATATTCATATCTATGACTCTCAATTTAATACCTTCCCAAGACAAAAGATTTATCAATCTGAAGAACATAGCAATTTGTAGCTCATTACTAATTATAATTCTGATTGAACCATTATACAGGGAACCATTGTATTCCATATCCGAAGATTACGTAATTAATTCCTAAACATCAGATAAATTCAAATCTATGGAGTATCACATCATTAAGAATTTGGACTATCTAGGTGGAAGCTAAGCTTATTGTATCTTACTATTTATACTATTCCTCTTCCTATCTAGAGCAAGATCATTTTACTACATTCTATATATGACTTGCGCTATTTTCGTACAAGATGTTTTAAAATCAGTATATAAGGACCCGCGCCCATACATGACGTAATCTGAAATAATCAATTAGAATTGTTCATTTTCATTTGGGAACCCATCTGGTCATACTTCATTTTTGACAGCTTTCTCATTCATGGTATTTTTAGATTACTTTAAGATTAAGCAAGAAAAGAATTAGCTAGTGTCTAGCTACGTCAAGAAATCAAGCATTTCCTACTTCCTGCTTTTAGTCTTAATTCTTAACATCTAGGCATTAATGGCATACTCAAGAGTCTATGATGGAACACACTCAATTAACTAAGTGCTATTCGGATGGCAACTCGGACTGTGGCAAGCTCTATATTTTCACTACATCCTTAGAGACAATATAATTGCAATATTTAAGGCAATAGAATCGAAAAAATAGAGTTCAGATATTGAAGATTTATAAAGATACCTAATTCAAGCATTTTTATACTACATTATTGCTTTGGCGATCCATATTACGGTATTTGTCCTTGTTAATTAAGAAGAAGATGTCCAGCCAATATGGATTGAAAGAATGAATTCAAAATGTAGAAAGGTACAAATTCAAAATTCATTTGAATACTCAGGATTTTAGAAATCAGGCTATTTGAGTTTTATACTTTCTGCATTCATCTCAGCCATTTTCTTAGAAAAATTGTTAAGATAAAAGTTTGGAATATCAAGATCAATATCCAAAAATAACTTAAGTCTTAGTTTTTACATAATTAAAATCTTGGTAGCTTTAGCATTAGCTACTCCAATAGTTGTTTACCATGAAACTTTCCCTTCAACACCTGATAATTTTTATCTGACGCTAATGCTCAAGGCAAACCTTACTAGCATCTTAGGTGGAATGATATTTTTCGGAGGAATTTATGATCTCATAGTATTCAAACTCTTTAATATGCTTGAGTAGTCATTGAAAGAAGGGAAGACAAGCTTTATGAGTGAAAATTAATCATCAGAGAAATTAATTGATAATGAGTATGCTGACGAAAGCACTCGCTCTTGAAAATTAAAGATTTTATGAGACTTGCTTGCATTATTATAAAATTAAAGATAAGACTTGGATCCAATTTATAATCTCTGCTTAATTATTTAATTTAAAATCTTTATTACATTTAAAATTTATATTTATTAATAGTAAACGTGGGGTTTTGGGGTTTTGGGG